GTGGTCTAGGATATATGTGATCATATCTCGGGATAAGGAGTCACAACCCACAGCTTTTGATTTAATGGAAAGGATAATCTTACGAATCTCCGTCGCATCAGCTGGAATGAAACAGAAATTGTTTATGTTGGGACGCGTCAGACCACTGATAAAAGACAAGGTGTTTAGTCTGGTTATTTGATCTAGAGTAGGAACAGTGGAGAAATGTTGGTTAAGGTCATCTAAACCAATTGTTATAGACAGGTCTGAATTTTGAGGTTTACCAATACCAAGAGTCCGGAAAAATTTCCAGATATTGGCTGGAGATGAATAAGAAATATTATTGAGAATATGACGGCGCTTAGCGTTACGTACCATTTGGTTACATCTGTTTCTCGCAATTTTAAAAGCCTCCCAGTTCTCATGAGTACGATTTGTCCTATGCCTGCGGAACGCGCGGTCCCTACGACGCATTGCCATCTGTACTCCTGCGGTCATCCAAGGCGCCGGTGGACGCCTAACCGTGATCTTTCTGATGGGTGCATGACGGTCGTATAGACTAACGAGAGACGCATTAAAAATTGCTACCTTCTCGTCAACAGTTTCCGCCTCAAAAAGCGGCCCCCAATCGAGTGTCGATGCATCACCCCGAAGTCTCTCCCCATCCATCCCCGCAAAACAGCGCCTGTACAGAACCCTGGGTTTGACCTTGGGTGGTTTGAGGGCATAGGATAGGTAAATAAGGTCATGATGGGAAAATCCAGGAGCGTCATGCTGACCTTGAAAGGGAACCAAGGAAGGATTCGAAGTGAGTATAAGATCGAGCCAAGAGTCATCAGCAACAGTATTGTGATGAGTAGCATTCAGCGGTAAGATGTGAAGACTCGCTGACTCGATAAGATGAAGGAGCTTATTAGCTCTAGAGGAGTTTGGTAGAAGGAGATCGGTATTAAAATCACCCATGATCACGTGATGTTCGTACTCAGAACCCAAAGATTCTAGGACTGACTCGAATTCAGTGAAGTAGTCATTAGTTGGAGGGCAGTAAATAACACCCAGGACCATTTTAACCCCCCGGACACAAACCTCTAGAAATAAATATTCCGCAGAAGAATTTGGAGACGATGAAAAGAGTATTCTGTGAGTTAGTGCAGTGATTGATTAGTTAATCAAATCAGCGTTTTGATGGCACGCAAGCATCACGTAGAAAGTTACCAATAGGTATAAAGAGTAAAGTGGTAGTACGGTACTTACGCCAGCCACAGTCCGAGAGCGAGGACGATTTGTGATAGGATGGTATTTTGTTACTTGTTTTATTAACTCTTCTGGTCGCTCTTCCACTAAATGAACTGTCAGTACTTAAAATTTCAGATTCAGTGTAATCGAGCTCATGCTTTTTGTACTTAGAGGAAACCACAACAGTTTTATCACTTCTTTTATCCACCGACTTGAAATTGCTTCTTATATTGCTAGGTTCAACTGCAGTGGTCTCTTTGACCTCTTCAATCAGTTCAAATGTTTGTATTTCTGTATCCTCTTTATTCATCAAATCCTTTAATTTGTATAGAAAAGTTTCTGCTTCTTTTGTAGTAATTGGTGTTACTAGGTTCTCAGTAGTGACGCTTTTTGGTGGCGATTTTAGTATCTCATCAATTTCCAAAATATTGCCTAGGGATGAAATTGATTTATTTACGCTCTCAGTTATTTTTAATGAAGCATCTAAATCAGCAGGCCAAGGCTCATCTGCGTCACCTGCGTAATAATAATGCTATTAGATTCATGTACCGTCGTCGATAGAGGGCGCCGTAGACGGATATAGCAATTAGCAACCATCGATTGGCAGATATATTAAAGGAGGGCCAAATTAAAAGTATCCTTAACCGATGAGCATGCATGAAAAGACTGATAACTTTTGAGGAAGCGAAAGTGGTATGTAAGAATAAATCGTGGCGGTCCACAGTTAGTTTCTGCCTTCATGGGAGATAGGCGTGAGGTTATCTATGTATTAGATTCATTATTAATTTATTGACATTGAAATAAAGATTTTTTTTATGGTACGCAACCTTTGTGCTGCGCGTTAGCATAAGGATTGCTCGGCGAGGTAGAAACCGTGAAGAAAAGATAAGTACAACAGTGTCAGCCAAACTATGTAGGTATAAATATTTTTGACTAAGTATGATATCATTAAGATGATGATGATGATGATAATGATGATATAGGTATCTAATAAATAACTACGCTATAATAAGTCGCACACTTACTGAGTAAATGAGTATTGGGTTCAGAAAAGATGATAAGAGATTTATCAGATACAGAATTAGATTGCACTTTGTTGTATTTCTCAAATTCGTCCTTTGTGTCACTAAACATAAGGATGCAAATTATTAACATGATACAATATCATTATTTTAAATTTAAATCTTATATATTAGTTTCAATATATTGAATTGTGATAGATATCAATAAAACGTGACGTTACCCCTCTTTATATTGTCCTGTGAGATCATCTGAGTGAGGTTTCACTGAAAATATAAAATCTACTTATTTATTTGTTCGTAATTGATAACATTTTATTGCTGATTTTCAACCACAATAATAAAAAAACAGCTTAAATTCCATAAAACTAATGGATATCAAAATAAATTCAACTAAAAAATTACCCAAGTCTTTATGAGAAAACTTAATTTTTTTGCCTTCTGTTCCGTCATCACTATCTTCAAGTAAAATTTGAGTACGTTCACTCACATTTGAATCATTTTGTCCTGATTCATCGACACGTTCATCAACATTTTCGTCCTCGACATTTTGAGTGACGATGAGTTCATCTACATTTTGACTGTCGATATGTTCATCGTCATTTTGACCATCAATATCTCCATTTTGACCATCAATATCTTCATTTTGACCATCAATATCTTCATCGACATTTTCATCAATGTTCAGTTCATTGAAAGCTACATCGCTGTCTGAATTTATATCGATATATTCATTTTTCAGGGGTAGTACTGCCATTTTATTACTTCCTTTTATATCGAAAGTTTTATCAGTTAAGTCTGCGTTATTGTTATTACTTTTTATTTCCGCTGGCAGTGTATTTGCATCAATATCGTTATCAGTGACATCTCCTGAACCGTTACTTGTATCATCTCCGGATTCTTTGTTTATATTGTCTATAATGTTGGCAATTTCATTTCTGAAATAATCTGTAGGATCAAATCTAATGGTATCAATTACATTTTGTATTTCTTTTCGTACATACTCTTCATCAGACATATTTTCAGTTTCTGCAGTATTAAATATTTCTTCTACTTTTGTCACGGGTATATCTGTATCAGATGGTAGTTCTATCAATTCGTCAACTTTTGCTGATTCTGATTTGTTTGATTCTTCTGAGTCTGACTCGACGTGCATTGGCGGGGGTTGGCATATATCCTGAAATGATATTTTATTACAATTACCTATCTAAAATAGTACCAAGAATTTTAATAACATACTATAGGTAGTAGGTATATTAATCTACATATTTTTAAAATAAAAAAAATATTAGTAGACAGTTGTAGATAGTTGTACAAGTCTTAACTATTTTCTTAACTTACTATAACATTATCAAATAGGTCGTCAATAAAGTCCAGTACGGGGCCTTCTTCTTCTTCTAGGTCTATGAAAATCAACAATTATTGATTTTTAAAATAGCCAGCTATTCTAGTAAAATACATAAATTACGGTACAAAACCAATAGAAGTACTTCACCTTTCCTCTTTACTTCCTTTAAAAATGTTTCCACGAGAGTGGCAAATTGATCAGAAAGATGTTCATTAACGTCATTTTTTAGTCTGACTAAAAAAAGAAAATAATAAAACATAAAATGCAATAAAAAGTATAAAAAAGTCGCATTAAGTGAAGGAAAGATATTGGAAGGAGAATAGTACTTACCCCTTAAATCTTCTTCGAGAAGCTTTAGTGATAAATCGTCTAAAATACTTGTTATCCAAATTGTAATCTGTAAAAAACGTTAGTGATGTAAAAGTTATTAAAAAAAAAAACATTTTTATTAATGTCAGGAAACACAAGAAGACTTACTTTATTTGATACATCTGTATGTATAGCTTTATACTTCGTTTTTTTACTAAACGTACATTTAGTTAGTAACTTCGCTATATCTTCATGAATTATTTTCGATAATCTTTTCAAACTGGAAAATGTCAAACTATCTGTTATTTACCCGGGAGCTGGTAAGTTCTTATTATTTAATTACCTACGCCACTTTAAAACTTACATACTTAGATATAATGGTCAAAATTGTGTGACATGTTAGGTAGGTATAGAAACAATTTTTTATCATAACTTAAAAACCCGACTTACTCTGAATTCAAAGTTAAATTTAATTGTTTTGATAACCTTTTAGTAATTTTATGTGCAAATAATATACATAAGGTTCTTGAATCCATATAACGACTGGGTTTCGAGAGGTCTACATAATTTTCTCGTTTCTTTTCAGCAGACTTACAGCGTCTGTAAAAAAAACCGCTATCGGTATCACATAGGTAGTCTAGTCTGCTCGTTAGCCGCCTGCAAACGAGCAGACGGATCACTTGATGGTAAGCAATCGACGCCGCCCATGGACACCCGCAACACCAAAGGACTAAGAAGTTATATGTGTGGTGAATTGCGTCACAATTGTTGTGTTGCTGTCATTTTGGGGATTGGCGTGTGAAAGGAATCTAGAAGGATGCGACGCGATGATTAGAAGTACGATTTACACTTCTTACGTTTTTGATGTTGATGGACTTCGCCGTTGAAAGCAAATTATTGCTTCTGGTATTTTTACAATTGGTCGTTGGTCCAACACATGTTGTTTCAATCTTTCTACCTGGAACATAGCAATGAAAGTGATTTTAAAAAGTACTTGTTCTCAACCCTACTGAAATGTGATACGACAAGACTTACCTAATCGTAAAATAAGATTTACCCCAAAAATTACTTTAAGTAAGTAATATAATATAAAGTACAATGTAAAGTAAAGTTGACTTAAATGAAACAATCAGGTACCATAAACTCCGGTAGTATATCAGATTTGTTTCTCCAAGTATCAATACACTGTCGTTTGGTTGGCACAGCCAGCTCCGCTATTCTCATCGGGCACTTCTTGTGTTTGGGAATTTTGGATCTGCCTCGTGGTAAACTAGGAATGCAATATTTGTGCGCTGCTGAATAAGTAGCAGCCGTGTCAGCTGAAGTCGGTCGCCGTCGGTATGGAGATTTTGAGGTTGGTGAACTTGGGCTCGTCTTGTTTTTAGAGTATTTATTTCGCCTGTGAAATAGGTAGGTATAATCCTAGTTTTGAAGTAGCCATTTATGACAGAAACCGATATCACTATCACTACATAGTATAAAACAAAGTCGCTTTCTCTTTCCCTTTGTATGCTTAAATCTTTGAATTAAAACTACGCAACGGATTTTGATGCGATTTTTTTTTTAATAGATAGAGTGATTCTTAAGGAACCTTCCTTATGCATGCATTATATAGTATTATATAGTACACTGATAAATTTAGAGGTTTCTAATGTGATGTCGTAAATCAGCACTTTTTTTACGCTTATATTGCAAGCGCTGGCTGTACCCTACGAGATAGACCACAATAATGTACTACAGTATTGACCACCTTAAAAAGTTCAACAAAAAAGTCCGTGATGGTAATGTCTATCTATTGGGGATAACCACCATAACAATTTTTTATCCTTTACTATCAATGGTTATTTACGAAGTGATTTTAAACAATACAGCATTAATCCTTATCCAATTAAGTACCTACTTTAAGTAAATTGTGCATTTTTCATAGATCAACATGCTTTTTACAGCTTGTAATTTAAGTGAATATTTCCGAAGATATTACAAATTTAAAATGCAGGGACGTATTTGTTGCGGCCTTGATGGCCGCGTTTCGTCCTAGAGCACTTCATGACTTGCAACGATCGCACGCGTTTATCGGAGCTCTCTAGCGAGTGTGCGTTACCCAGGCCAGATGTTGTCGAAAATGGTCATTTGAATCTTATAGATAATTAGTTGTGCGGCTTTTGTAATTGTTGCGCACAAAAAGCTATGTATTATTTTTATTTTTTTTATTTTACAACAAATTTGAACTAATAAGAAGCCATGTACAAAATATGATAAGAATCCGCTTAACCATTTCAAAGATCTAGCAAAATCAAAAACGTTACCCCAGCAATATCTCGAATAACTTCGCAACCGATGAAAGAACAAATAAAACAAAGCACATTTTCTTCATCTAGACAACTAATTTTATAGCTAGTAATTATTTAAATGTTCCCATTAGAAAGAAAAAGTGTGTAAGCGCAACAAATTTAAAAATGTGCGCACCGCACAACTAATTATCTATAAGACTCAAATGACAATTTTCGACAACATCTGGCCTGGGTAACGCACACCTCTAGCGAGGCGAGCGAGAAAATATCAATATAAAACATGTTTGTATTGTCTAATGACAAAATAGCTGTGAACGTGGTGTTTATGGACATTTTGTAGTAAGTATTTTTACATAAGTATTGCAACTGTGCGAAGACGGGGCGGGTCGCTAGTAGAAACATAAATGTAACCTACCTGAGTGAGTGGTCCTTCCTACTGTTCCTACAACACAACAGCGACTACGCTGCAAATCGGTAGAATTAAAGAGACGAATGGAAAAGTGTTTGAAGCCAAGACGACAAGTAAAGTCTACATACCTAGTGCTCCTACCTACAATCTTACAGGTACATGTGCAGTAAGTACCTGACCAAGCTATCGGAGCTACCATTAATTTAATATTTCGGTAGGTACTCAGTCTTATTTACTACTAGCTTTTACCCGCGGCTTCGCTCGCGTCACAAAAGGATAAAAAGTAGCCTATGTGACATATACCAATACACACAGCGCCATCTATACCAATACTTTTGTTTTCCCTCGGGAATATCAATTTTTTCCGGGATAAAAAGTACCCTATTATTTAATCCAGACTTCTAACTTTACGTCTGCAAAAATTCAAAGCAATTGGTTTAGTAGTTACGGCGTAAAATCGGAACAAACAAACTCACTTTCCGATTTATAATATTATATATATATATCTATATATATATATATATATATAGTAAGGATAGGTATACTAGATATTGTGTTTTCAGTGCTGTTAATTATGTATGTACCTACCAACTCTACGCAACTCGACTACGTAGGTAGCTATTTAGTAGAAGGAATCTGATTGCCTTCCTAGGTAGGTATAACTCTAAATCACAAATTATTGTTTAAACGTAAAACAAACAAGTATTCATTAGATTACTCAACTTTTTTTGGCATTGCTTCACGAACGATCCTAAAAAATCGATATTGGCTACACTTGCTTCATAGTAACTTGAATCTGGTTGTGGTTTTTTTTGACGCAGTTTATTACCGCGCCATACTTCGCTTTCAACGGTCGCATTGAACCAGTCTTTTTCGAAACCCATTTCGTTTTTGCCTCGAGGAGTGCGTTCGGAATCCATGCTTGTTACAACTAGAGTAGAATCTGTAAATATTTTACAAAAGAAAAGAACCAAGAAGGTACCTATATTAATCCATGTGGCAAAGGTAACAGCGCATAATGCGCGTTATATCAATATTATAGGTAGGTGGTCATTAGGAAGTTACAGTCTCAGTTACTGGTAATCATAATTATCTTACAGATACAAACACATTACAAAGTTGCCACAAAATAGCGACATTGTGTAATCAAAGTAGGTAAATAGTCTACTTTTCTATATAATGCTTACCTGAATCTGCACTAGAAAGGAAGGCCATTAAGTTTTAATGTAGGTGTCTTTCTAAGAGCTACTTAAGAATTACCTTTAATTTAGTCTGGAAATCTTAATGAAATTTTAAGAAAACTTACACAATCATATTTCGATAAATAAATAATATTTACTGACAGATAATTTGTAAATAGATAGACTGAGTTAAACGAATGAATAGAGGATATGTCACTGCCTTGAAGTATTTTTGTAAGAAGATCTATAAAGCCATGGCAGTGCTCTATTCCCGAGTTTTTTTTCTGTTTACACTGCACTGTGTACTTTACATTTATTAGGACGAACTTATTGTACAACAATATGTATGTAACTGGCGATATCTAACGGAAACCATTAATATTACATGTGGTGAATGCTCCTAAAAACGCGGTTTACCGTAAAAGTAAGTCAGTCTGCTTATTCCCATTGGAGACAGGCGTGAGGTGAAGTATGTATGCATGTATTAGAAAAAGGTTTTCTTAATTTTTGAATTGATTACTATTGTCAAATAGTCTGTGATTCTTTCAAACTTCGTTTCTTAATTTTAAAAAGCTACACATTAGTCTTTTAAACAGATAAATACGTAATCTAAAACTAGATTACTGTGTGTGCACAAAATTGTCATTTCCGAACGATATTTTTAATAATTATCATGTTTCTATTTCGAACTGTCAGTGTCATGAAAAATTGTTTTTGTTTGCCACAACTGTCAATGTAAGTTGTCATTGTCAAGTCAAGTCAACATTTACGTTCATGGGGAGAAGACGTGTATTTTAGTTTTAAGTAAACAAAATTATCGTAATAAATCAAAAATTTTAATAAATTGACTTGGGGATTATACGAGAAATAAGAAACATAATACGTTTCTACCGAAACTTTCGGGTTTTGTTGATTTACATCTTGTAATTTGAATTTTATTATTTTATTTGTTCGTCTTTACACTGGAAAAGTTGTAAACAAAGAATTAGTGAAACAAAAACAATGTGGTCTCATTTACAACGTGGAAGTTCACCAGTGGACTGGTGTGAATCTAATTATTCTATATCACCAGTAATTGCTGAATTTGTTAATACCGTAAGTCTTATTCTGAATTTTCTATTTTTAGTTTTCCGAGCAAAGACAAAGGATTTTCTTTCTTGGCGTGCTTACATGTTTTTTTTACCTGTATAAGAACCGGTATATTTTACATAACGTTAATTAGAATATTGACCTTGGGATATTGTTAGAAATATAAATACTTTGAAGATGCTTGTTATATGCAGTTAGCTATGTGAGTTTTTGCCATGGTTTAGTCATGCTTGCTTGCCCAAAATGGTCGTTGACCCAGGCCCTCTAAATTGGTCGCCTACCTGCGCGATGTATCACCTTGTGTGTGTAGACAATGATATAAATTAAGTTTTATTTTGCAGTTTAGCAATGTCCTGTTCTTCCTGTTGCCTCCAGTCCTGATTCATCTGTTCCAAGAATATTCCAAGTTCTTCAACCCAGCTATTAATGTGCTATGGGTACTGTTGATGGTAGTTGGGATCTGCTCTGCATACTTTCATGCTACACTGAGTTTAGTGGGTAAGGAATTCCTACAAATTACCAGGTTTATTACCCATTCATAAATGTTCGAAATTGATTAGAAATAGCTAGTGCTCAATTTATGATTCCATGTCAATTTCATACCATTCATATCCTATTTATGAGTCTATTTACTGTTACTCAACTTTTATGTTTTGAATCAACATAAAACAGAAATTCAATGACACAGATTGTTTTGAAAACATTGTGTGTTATAATATTTCTCTAGGTCACATCTGGATTAATATCATAAATAATAAGTATGTAAATGTTAGATAAACATGATTTAACATCATAGTTTTTAACTTGTTGAATTTATTTTGTATGCAAATCAAAGTCTAACTTAGAATTTCATTCAAACAAGAATAAAATAAATTCTAATAGGAACCAATTTAAATGAGTCAGTATATCATACAGCACAAAAGGACCATAATATCAGTTAGATTGAAACAAAGGAGGATCTAATGTGAGTATAGACAATATATGTATTATTATAGTTTTAACAATGGTATTTACAATTTCAGGGCAGCTTATGGATGAATTGGCTATACTGTGGGTGTTCATAGCAGCGTTCGCGATGTTCCTGCCTAAGAGATACTTTCCTGCATTTTTAGATGGAAACAGGTAAGGACCTTATGTAAAAACATAACATCACAACACAATTTTTGCTTCTAGAGGGGGAACAGAAGTTTACCTAGGTTTTAGGTATAACAACCATTTTACACCAGTTAAGCTATTAATTTATTAGTCATCATATTTAAATGATTCGCATACAAACTACACAATATTATGAAATTCATAAATAAACGTATCACCTAAATATGTAGCCTTATAAAGCAGGTATGTTTAATCATTATTATATTAAACTATATTTTCTTTAGCTTAACTCGTCGAGTACCGGTTTTGTAGACACAATTATAGAACAATAGTTGCGGTCACCGGTGACCGCTTGGTCTTTGACAGTTTAAGCTTATTAACTTCAGTTTTATATATGTATAAAGTTGAAGAGTTTGTTTGTTTGAATGTGCAAATATCCGGCAATACAGATCCGAATCCAATAATTGTTTTTGTGTTTGATAGTTCATTTATCCAGGTAGGTTATAGGCTATAAAACATCACACTACCGTCAATGCGCGCGCATTACGGGTGAAAACCGCGCCAGAGTCGCCAGTCAGATAAAAAAAAGTATACACAATTTTGATAGAGTTACAAAACTTATCACTTTAAAATATGTTATCAGACTTTTATTAAGTACATAAGAATCTATTGATAATGTTGAACGCTTGAATCCAACAACTAAGGTGTGTGCATTGCACCTGATGTCTGTTTGTTTGATAACAAAATACTGTAAACTGTTTCTAATACAGTTGTGTAAATAATAAATGCATACCTATGTAGTTCGAAACATGTAAACACTCATATGAGTATGTACCTGTATTGTAAAAAATACCTGTTCTGTTTTAACCTATTAAACTGTCAATTACACCAAGCGGTCACCGGTGACCGCAACCTATTGTTCTATAATTGTGTCTACAAAACCAGTACTCGACGAGTTAATAAATCATTTTCTTCTTTGTTTTTATAATAACTATCGTATCTAAATTGACTAAAAATTGCGGGTTAGTTACTCACGTGAATATACTGAGAAAAGAGAAAAGCTCTACTAGTTTCGAACCACAGAGGGGATCTTCCTGACAGCAGCGGCGAGGTCTACTAATTATCTTCTTGATTGAAATGTGTATGTATGCTATACCTAACGAAATACTAAACAGAAGTCTCTTCAAACGTAAAATTTTGCTTTTTTGCCAAGTACCGCGCGCTGTTCCAGTTCCGATTGTCAATGATCGAAGCCTAGATCTGGTCTTCTGCGGTTGCCATCAAAACATCAGGCATATTACAAGCCGTAGGTACCTATATCGCGCATACGTGACAATAACAAGAGCGATTAATATAATCTGTCCAGCAATCACATCAACAGCCTACTTATAAATGCCCGCTGCTGAGCAAAGCCTCTTCTCACACGAGAAGGTTTGAGCATTAATCACCACGCTTGCTCAATGCGGGTTGGCGATTTCAAACTTATAATATGAAATTATAAGCCCAGGTTTCCACACGGTGTTTTCTTTCACCGTTTGTCAGTGGTGTCTAGATAATCATAGAAAGTACCTACCTATAACTCGGAAAAAGTCACAATGGTACTTGCCATTGGTAGGTTTCGAACCCGCACCCTCATGCATACGAAGTGGGCGTCTCTAACCTCCGGGCGACCACGACACGACTGTCACTGTCCAGCAATCGGAAATACATAATTATATTTAATATAGATAGAGGATAACCGTCAGGCTGATTGAATAAAAAATAAATACTGTACATATTTAATTAAATGCATGTCCATTGTCCAGTGCGAAATATACGAATTATCCTTTAGCAATGTAGTCAGAGTAGGTACTTATACCATTTTTAGTTTTTTACTTATTAGTAAACAGAAACACAGAAACCTTTCATTAAGAATCAGTATCATTAGAAGGTAGGTGGTTATTTACTTAATTTCCCGAACAATACAATGACGCATCTAACATTTGTCCCACGGACCGGTTGTGCCGATGTGCATGTGTGATAACAATGTTTACTTACAGACAGCATTAATACAGCTACTAAGTACCTAGGTACTTTAAAACCAATTACCTCAGCATTTCAATACGTGATATTAGAAGGTTAGGGTAAAACTGCGTTGTTATAAATACGCTTTGAGCCTTTGAAGCAGGAAGGTACGAGGCTCTCTATTGTTACCAATAGGTACACATAAAAGAAGGTTTTTGTGAATATCATCAAAGGACCTAAATATCGTAAATTAGTTACTCCTAATATTAATTTGAATTGCTTCAGATATATTATATTTTTTTAAATGAAAATTTGTTATGTTGTTATTTTTTAACCTTGATTTTTAAATTGACATTATTGACTTAAAATAAATTTTATTTATTTGTATTAATTCAATTATTTATGCTATATTAATATTGGTATGGATACATAGTGTAGGTAACTAAACCTGTTTTTAACTTATGAACATCTATGTAGGTAATACCACGTTACAAATAAATAAATAATTATGAGCATGATTAGGTATGGTTATGGACCCTGAAGGACCGCATCAATGTAATGGCGAGGATTCACTTAACCGTCAGATAGTTAAAGCAGTCATATCTTGACGCTCTACGCTCTAGGGCCCTGTACTAAAAATTGGTAGGTATGGAGTTTCCCACCCAAAATACCTACCTACTTAATAACTTGATAAACTTTAAGCGATTTCCCTGTAGATAAAGCGGAATTAGAGCTCTTGTTGTTAAGGAGTACCTATTGTACTATCTAATCTGTATTTCGGCGTGGGGTTGTACCTCTGTCAATCTCTTCTCTTTGATACGGTTGATATGGCCGAATCTATGCCCTTGGAGATTAGATAGGTACCTAATATCAATCTATTGGTTAACTAATTGTAGCTTCAACTGTAGGTTATGCTAGTACGCAATAGAAGTACCGCTTACAGAACGCCCATGAAGTTTTGGAACCTACTTGATAAATATTGTTACTTCCTTGTTTTTATACTCGGGCTGAGGCACTTAACTTTTCTTAGCATAAATTAACAAACTCTATTATAATTTGGTAATTACTATGTGAATTTGCTAATAAGAACTGTATAAACACATTATGGTCTACTTTTAGCGCCTATTGCGCCATTAACGGCGTCATGGAAGTTTCAAAATTGCATTTTAAGTAAACTTGGTAACAAGGTACTTGACAATTATTGTATAGAACTATAGGGTTGCGTGGTACTTACTTAAGTACGAAATAAATACCAATGTAGGTACCCAATAAGTAACAAACACCTAAACCTTTGAACCTTTGAACCTTTTTCTTTCCTCTACGATCCATGACAATAGATAATTAGATACTTTCCAGTCAGTTTTTAAATGGAAAAGGCTAGAAATCAAGAGAAAGTGGCTATTACGAGCATAATATTACCTAGTGAAATCTAGTAAAACGCATGTAGGTAGGCATAGTTTGATGGTACCTTACCAAAAATTCTATTTGTGTGGGTACTTGCCCTATTGAAACCGGATAATTTGACCTAATTCAATGTGTTAAAGACCTAGGGTCAAGTGGGTCCTTCCTGCCATTTAGGTGCGTGATTGATTAATACTTATAAATGTGTGTGGGTAAGGGTTTATAGCAGTAGAATCCAAACTTATTTTTTTCATGGACCACTTTCAGAATTTTACTGGTTTCGGTGGACCCTGCTGCTACATTTCTACCACATTCTTAAAGTAGTAAAAAAATAAAAATTGTGTCGCTTCTGTGTTCTGTCCCTATACATCAGACGTGTTCTAAAATCCCGGTTTATCTCTAGTAAGCGCACTTAGCGCATCTAGACACCCCCCTTTAGCGTTATATACTTAAATTCAGCTTATAGTCTACCTAGATATAATCTGCGAATATAATGTAGGTATAACGGACTTTTAACATGTAGGTTGAAACATTTTACAAGGTTATTGTTTAGTAATTTGTTGCAGATGTAGGTTAATCATGAATAAAGTAAATTAATGTTTGCGTGACCAAACCAAATACCAACCTGCCTACCTACAGTGACGTTGTTAGTTTTACTTTTATTGTTTGTTTGGATACACATTACTTATTTCATTCGTAAGAATTGTAAGCTTACTTAGATTCTACGAAATAAAAAAAGGTCGGTACCTACTTAGAGTTGGTAGTTATCTAAATGCATTACAGCCTAATTGCTGGCCGTCTTTCTATCGATTTATGCTGGTAGAACCTAACTCCAACTTAACCACCTTGGAAGGAAAATTAGGTACATGCGTACCTAATTAGTTAATTAACCTGTTTTTAAAGTTTCCGTGTACGGTACCCCACTAGGCATCGACACCGTTAGGTTGTTGGAATTGACTGCCTAGTTGCCGCGGTGGCTGGGTAACTAGCAGCCGCTTAACGCGTATCGGGTTCAATTCCTGCACGGAGTAATTTGTACATGCATGTTTATTTATACCCGCACCCATGACACTGGAGAAAATCCTAGTGTGTGTGTGTGTGGGGGGGGGGGGAATGTTTTTTAAAGAAATGAAAAATAATTAACAAAAATATTGATGCTCTGTTATGATTTCAAGCAAAGCGTTAATAATCGATAAGAAGCACTAAATGTGGGTGTTCTTTTTGTTAGTAGGTCGTTAGCTACGCACAACCTTATCAGCTTTAACCATTGGTTCCGTCCATTGTAGCGTTTATTTGTGTAAAATATATGTTTTAATATTTTTTTTGAGAATGACTGCAATGTTAGGAAAAATCCTCCTTGTTACTTGATATTGTTAAAATAATGTTAAATTGAATCTTTCTTTGTATCTGCTTACAAAATACACGATCTGTAAGATCCCGAAGCTGAATTCTTTTGTCAGAATCCGATATAATTATTTTAATAGAGAGTGATAGTTTTTAGTTATCGTTCACTCTTGGCATATATCGTGGTCTTCATATGGTGTCAGAGATATAAGTAACTAATTAATTTTACATATTTTCAGACGTCGCCTGGCTATCTACTCCGCCATTACGTCGGTTCTACTGACCGCCTTCCTAGTCATGCATCCAGCAGCTAACGCATTCGCATTGATGACACTCGCTCTGCCGACGCTTGGATTTATGTATGGCGAGTTGGTGAGGTAGGTACCTACTCTTTTAAATTTCGATCGTTATAAATAGTACGTAAGTACCTACAGGTTTCCAGCTCCCCCATGTTTTCCTTGTATACTATATGGAATTACCTAATTGAACACCTATCAACTCAACTACATATCTGTTAACGATAATGCGCTATCAATGTTAGTATCTCCGTGTTAACATATTGATGTTGTTTTGTCTTGCGGCAAAATAACTTGCCATAAGGAGTAGCTAGGTATATTCGATTCATTAAGTAAAAACAAAAATTTGTTTTACTTAGTTTAAAAATATATTCATCGACATCTAATGCCCCCATGTGCGTGTGTAGGCACTATTCTCATCGCGCGCGCCACCTATAGAGAAATATCAGTTCACGCGTTTTAGAAGTTTGCTTTTACAAGTCATCAGCTATTTTTTGTTTAAAAAATAATAATATTTTATTTCTCTGTAAAACCATTGTATTACCGAGACAAAACTATTATCGGGGCAAAAACGATATAAATTTTACGGTGTATAATAATATCATTTACTTCTTGGTTTGTAGTTTTATAACATTGGTTTTTTATTACGTTTTAGAGTGAAATGTTCGCGTGTATATCGCCTGGGTGTGCGGTCTGTTGCCGTTAGTCTCCTGGCGATATTCTGCTGGGTCATGGACCGCATGTTCTGCGACGCGTGGCTCTCCATCGACTTCCCTTACATGCATGGAGTGTGGCACGTACTCATCTTCATCGCCAGCTACACTGCCCTCGTGCTATTCGCGTATTTTAACGCCACTGAGGAGAGTCCCGAACAAAAACCTCAGCTAAAGTACTGGCCAGTGAACGAATTCGAACTAGGCATACCATATGTAACCATGAAACATCCCTGCAAGACAGACAAAAATCTAGCAATCTAGTCATTTCAGAACTAGTTCATCCTAGGGCTAGATCTACTACTGACAGTTTTCGAAGGCTGAGTTACCTTTGATTTGAAATTTGAATGGTCCATGCACTTATCATGTAGGTACCTATGTATTACTTATCAGTTGATAAAATTGGTGTATCTATGTAAGTAAGTACATAGATAACGTGTAGGCACATATCTATTTAATGTTCTTTTAAATTGCGCCAAAAATATTTTATTCTATTTTTATGATGACAATGAAATGTTTATGAAGTAATAATTTGAAATTGTTACGATGTTTGTACGCGTGAAGTAAATTGCGTTTGATAATGGGCTCGAGTAGAGTAGATTTAGTTGTGTAGATACTTTGAAATCTACATTAATTTGATTAAAAATCTACTACTTTCCATGAGAGTTGAATACTAATTGACCTGCTATTTTTAATGCGCTGTGATGCGAAGGTTTATTTATTTATTACTTTATTTCTTTTAAAAAAGGACAAAAATAATTTTAATTTTACTTTTAAAGTTTTATTTTTTTATTACATACTACAAAGTTTATAGAATTTTATTTATTTTTATTTTTTTTAATATAATATGGTTTCGGTGATCCATACTTTATATAAATAAATAGATTTTATTTTATATGTCAGGAACAGAGAATGTTTGGATAGCAACATGGTAAACAGCTTGCAGAGTAGTAGTATCTATTATTACATATTTACTTAAAACAATGTGATGTCAAATATATCTGAGATATTATTGTAGGGTAGATTAAGTGTGTAGCTACTTATTTTGTATACAATTAGAATATAAATTTTACAGTGGGTAGTACAAAATAATACAAGTAATTGAGTATTGAATGTATCTAGTTTTTTATTTGGGATGTTCAATAGTTTGTGTGGAACACAGCTTGTATTAGAAACCTGTATGAAAATTAGCTGTCTGTATATCACATAATAATATCAAACCATTATAGTTTCAGTAAATACTGTAGCAATCTATGGTATGTATTACTAAAAAATGCTCCATGCGTGACTTACATTGCGTCATAAGCATTTTGTAGCTTGACAGCCCCTCAATTTTACCATGACTGATAAAATTGACCAGAGTTATTTTATGAATAACTATACTATAGTCACAGCTAATATTTAAAATTAACTTCTTCATTTAACTAAAGTATTATTAGGTATCGAGAATAAACTTCAAATAAATGTAGACTTGTAAAGCAATTAATGTAAAAAGAAACTAAAATAAAAGCTTGTAAAAACCTTGATTTGGGAGTTCTATAGTATTTTAGTACTGGTATTAATTTAGAACAAGCTGTTCCCATTTATGATAAGTGATATAGAAGTCTGATAAATGTCTGATAAAATTTGTTGCCGAGAATGATGACAAATAGTTTACATGTTTGACATAAAAAGACAAATTGTTTTGTAAAACCTCTAGTAAGTAAGTGCTAGTTTTACCATGTGATTCAGAAAAATTGTGATGATGGAATATAATAAATTATAAAGTTTTATATGTTTTTTTTTACTCAGGTACACCCAATTGTAAATTAAACACAGAAATATAAAAATAAGCTGGAATGTTTATTCAATAACATGATAATAAATTCAGATCCATAAATATTGTCAATAACATTTGCAATACATTATAAAATATAATTAGGTCAATATAAATTCTGGGATAAAAATTAGTCAGAGTCCGAAGACACATTATGTTGTACATTGGGATGTACCTTGGACGCATCAAACTTCTTCCGGGGGTAGGTGCTACCACCACGGTACACTATGTGGTTCTTTTCAGTCTCCAATATCTTCACTTCATGGAGTAACTGTGGCTTCTCCATCACACTCACGAGTCTATCCCAAATGTAAATAGCCAAGTTCTCAGTTGTGCTCACCTACAAGGCATAATTACACAATCATTACATTCTTATAGGAAATCAATCATAATCAATTGTAAAAAGGTCAAAGATCATAGTAAAAAAATTACTCAATTAAATGTTAATAATTTAGAGAACTGTTATGAATTTGATAACCTTTTGCCCATGTTGTTACACAACTTTAGACAATATGTAAAGGCAATTAAAATATAATTTAATTTGACTGTTCTCATATTGTGTAATGTCTGGTATGATTAATTAGGAAGATTTTTAATTACCACATTCTTGAAGTATGGAACATCTTTGTCCAAGTTCTTGTGGTCAAGTGGGTCCATGATGGCAACCTTTATGTACTCTTTGAGGTCATGTACATTCATCACCATGCCAGTTGAAGGGTCTACAGGACCCTTCACTGTTACCAGGACTGAAAATAGAAAAAAAAAGAAATTAGGATTTTTCCTGTAACTACAACATTGTTTCTGTCTAAATTTTCTTATGACTATGACTTGTAAAGTGAACAAGGTGTACAAAAACTTACCAACATAATTGTGTCCATGTCCATTTGGATTATTGCATTTTCCAAATATCTTTTTGTTTTCTTCATCAGACAAAACTGGGCTGGAAAAAATAATTTCTTATAAGAAATCAATTCTTTAAGAGGCCTCATATAAAAATTAATGGACAGTAGATATTGAATTTGGGGATTGATAACCCAGGGGATCAAGGGCCGCAAATCTCTGTAATTGAATAACTCGCGTTGTCATTACACGGCAAATAGCTACTTGTTGCATGGCTTTGCAACTCGGCTCATGTTACTATGAAGAAATTCCTGTACAAAGATCAGATTACTGCAAGTGATGCATTTTGTAAACTTATTCTTACCTGTGCAACCTGTGACAGGCACTAAAAGTTTCACGCCGGGTAATAGATACTATCGGCAAAGGGGTTGGAGTCATTGTTTTTAATTAAATATTATTTATTTCAATTAATAGCAAAAAAACAAGTTCGGCGGCTACTCTTTATAACAGCCAGTTGAATACTGAAGGTTTAAAATCGATGATACAGTTAATTCGCTACGACTTGGATATACTTAGTTAACTATATTAGAGAAGAGAACACGAACACAACAAGTGTTTTAAAAGTTGATATTGATTGAACTGTCACTGTCAAATGGGTCTGGCAGCTGTCAAAAGAAAGTTTGACAGATTACATTTCTGTTGCATTTATTCGCAGATGTTTATCTTTCTATTTTTATTACGAATATAATTTCAATAAAAATTATTAGAGATTACAACAATTAATTTTATATCTCTATTCTGACAAGAACATTAATTATGTTTTCAGAAGGAGTAAGTTTCAATCAGGAAAACATGCTTGACATGACAGTGATATTACTAAACTGATGTCAATGTCAAAGTCAAACGCGTCGACGTATCTGAGAGATTTTTATATCTATGTCTAGAAGTAAAGTACAGTGAATTGGACTTTGTAACCTTTTAGAAAAATTGTAAATAGTGTATTTTTAAGTTAAGCAGTGAAAAACTACAGTACTTTATTAACAAAAATGTTTTCTCCAAGCAGCAGGCACTTGCTCTTTTCAACGCAGGTTAGTGTTTCTTCTAATCGTTAATTTGCATTAGCTACACACGAGCGAAGTAATTTTCCTATAGTTTTGATATGTTCCACTAGATCACATTATTTTATTTGATATTTATCATGATTTATGTCTTGTTAGAATGCTTAGTGTAACCTTCTACCTGCTGTTAACTAGAATTGTCAAAACTTTTTTCAACTGTTTTTCTTATCATTAAGTTATTTATCAGTATGGAGAGCATCGTTTAATTCTATGTACATTTATGAGAAAATGTATTTTAATGTACAATATAAACATAATTATTTAACTAAAGGACATTAGACAATATACCTTTTAAAAGTTTACTGTTTTTGCCCCCATAAAAAAATGTTTGAAGAAGAAGTATCCACAAAACAAATCTCTTTCGGTATGTTGTAAATATAATTCCTTTTATTAGAGAAATAATGAATGAAAATACTAAATAGCCATACTTTTTAATATTATGCCCAGTGATGAGACTGTTTACATGCTGAATTATTGGTTGACTTGTATTTATTATTTTTATTTTACAGTTGAGGCGTCTTCAGAGCACCTTGGTAGTGGCAGAGCACAACAATGAAGTTCTGTCACCGGCCACACAGAACACTTTGAGTGCTGCCAAGAAGATTGGTGGCGATGTGGCTGTGCTGGTAGCTGGCACCAAATGTGGACCCGTGAGTTACTTCATAAGAAAAAATAAACATTCACATGAAATCCCTTAGAGTTAGTTTAAGGTATATAAATGTTCAATTATTGACTATTTTTATTTCTATTTCCAGGCAGCCCAAGCAGTAGCTAAAGCAAATGGTATTTCCAAAGTGTTGGTAGCTGAAAGTGATACATTCAAGGGCCTCACTCCTGAGACTCTGACCCCTCTCATCTTGGCCACCCAGAAACAATTCAACTTCACCCACATTTTGGCCCCAGCCACTGCTTTCGGCAAGGCTGTTCTACCCAGAGTAGCTGCCAAACTTGATGTCTCACCCATCACTGATATCATTGGAGTTAAGGATGCTAACACCTTTATCAGAACTATCTATGCAGGTAAAATAAGTAAATTAAACATGTTTGAGCCATTAAAATAATTTGAATTGCAATACTTGCATGTGAATAGCGATGCTTCTTTTGCAATTTATATCAGCACCTTTTTGCATAGAATTTACTTCTTGGTTGGCCTTGTCATTCATTGGAAGTTGCCATCGTAAAGTGATTTAAATATCTTTATGCCACAACAAGGAGATTAGAATTGGTGATGAAATCATTTTTCAACTCTTTCAGGTAATGCAGTCCTCACATTGGAAGCTAAGGATGCTATCAAGGTGATCACTGTCCGTAGCACAGCATTCCCTCCTGAACCCCTGGAAGGTGGCTCTGCAGCTGTAGACAAGGCACCGGAGGGTGACTACAAGACTGACCTCGTACAGTTTGTCTCTCAGGAGCTCGCCAAGTCTGACCGACCTGAACTCACCAGTGCCAAGAACATTGTTGCTGGTGGTAAGATCACAGTTTTATCAAAATTAATTCCATACATATTATATATTTCACATAGAAGCATCTCTTTTGGACTAGTTGCCAAATCTTCCAATAGGAACTTATTACTTGCCAATTAATGTAATTTAAATGAAAGATGTAATCTGTGTGATCATGATGTAATAAGTAAGCTTGAACTATGTCCAACGATAAATCTTTTATAGAATTAGATGACATCTCTTTTCCAAATAGGAGTTTTGACTTTACAGTTGATGTGTAGCTTCAATCCACAAAATAAATTAATAACCAATAGCATTACCAGCCAGATATTACAGGAAGCTATTGGGGCCTAAATTATATTGTTTCTAAATCTATTTAAATGTTTTCAGGTCGTGGTCTGAAGTCAGGCGACAACTTCAAACTGTTGTATGACCTTGCCGACAAGTTGAACGCCGCCGTAGGTGCCTCCAGAGCAGCCGTAGACGCTGGCTTCGTAGCCAACGACCTGCAAATCGGTCAGACCGGCAAGATTGTTGCACCTGTAAGTAAAGTACTTTAAAAATAACATCAAAGTAACTTATATGCACAATACTGAACTTATGCTAAACTGAAATCATGAGTAACTACCATGCTTTAAGTAAAAAAAAATGTACTAATAAATTAGTAAAATAGCTTTAGTAAAACAGGCCAATAAAGACTTTTTATTATATTTTTACTTTTTAAAAGTCACTTAAGTATCTTAAATATTATAATTTTCTTTCTGCAGGATCTATACATCGCTGTAGGCATCAGTGGTGCTATCCAGCATTTGGCTGGTATGAAGGACTCTAAGACTATTGTTGCCATCAACAAGGACCCTGAAGCACCTATCTTCCAGGTAACATGACTGAATATAATACAAAAATAAGAAGGCAACAAGATATTAATTTCATAAAAAAATCTGTAATCAGGTTTTTAAAAAATATAAAAGTGCTATTACTATTTGGCAAAGAATTTGCTTTGTAATTATTAGAAGTCTTGAAGCTGACAGTGCTTAATTAAATCTATTTAGACGCGCCTTCTTTATTTACGTAATCAATAAAAAATGTGCGTTACGTATTCTTATTAGCCAATTACTTCGTTACTTTAGTTATCTATAAATGTCAACAAGTCAAGGCTGTAGTTTTTTTATCAGTGCCTTATCTGCCTCGTAACAAATAAACGCAGATCCATATTGATTGCTCTATCAAATAGTTATTACATTGATTTAGGAAGGAAATTAGTTGTTACGCAATTGTATTAAAAAAGGTAATATATAGAAACTGTATTTCATTTTTTTTCTTTTTTTCATGAATGTTGTAAATAGTAAAGTATTACCGAATTCAACCGACGACAGACAAAAGAAAGAATCGCCAAAATAACATTTTAGTGTTTGTTGTTCCAAAAAAAAAACCTGCAAAAGCAGATGTGTTCGCCTGGACATGGAAACGGGACGTTAGTTTTCACAAAATATAGCTTTTTTTATACCTAAATACAATTTTTTTTCCAGGTCAGTGACTATGGTCTGGTAGCCGATTTGTTCAAGGCGGTTCCTGAGCTCACGGGCAAGCTGTAAACCATTAAGATATAAAGAAAGAATGAAGTATATAGTCCAACCATTTTAGATAAACTTTTTATTATTCTTGTATACAGAACTTTACACTCCTCCGAGATTTGTAAACATTTTATTGTTGATCAGTAATTTATCATGTGTAAGCCAATTGTGAATAAAGATTGTTACAATAACAACAGCCTTTCATTTGTATTAACTTAACTACTAAGTTAACTACTAGTCTGTTGACCTGGATATTAACTGTTAGAGAGAGTTTTTGGGCTGTAATTGATTGATTGATTTGAAGGTATAGGTAGTAGTTTATATTACGTAGTTTATAGTACGTAGGTGTGTTCTTGACAAAAATACATATATACGGCGTTCGACGCGTATAGCGCTCCCCGTTGATCGAGTGAATAGCGCACTATTCACTCGATCAGCGGCCCGCAGGCCGCGATCCTCGTACATGTTACTCTCTGTGCAGCGCTGTCCCATCCTCTGGTGCCATCGCCAGTGCCACCTCCGTCGACGTCATCGACATGTACGAGAGGTTTTCAATCAATGACCATGGACTAATAATATAATCTATCATAACGATACCTAATATCTGTATTAGGTTTGTGAATAGGCGTGTGGCTTTTCACAAATGAAAGCAGAAAACAATGCTATCAAGTAAGAATACAAAATTTTCCTGACGACTATTTCTATTAAAGCATGTATGTTTTTTTGCCCTATCCCAGAATTTTCTTATGTGTTGGGGGTTCGTTTACAAACATACCACAAAGTCACACACCATACTTAGACCTCAGCTAGACATAGACTTCATCATGCATATCAATTTGTGGATCACAAAGAGTTGATCAGTGCGGGAATCGAACCCGCGATGCGGCATTATTGGTGCTGTATCCGTGGCCGCCGGATACAGCACCAACAATGTAGTCGATTTAATAATTTGTTCCAGTAGAGAATATGAAATAAACAAATATTTCATTTAGTACTTGACGCGGTTCAGGTAACTTTATTTTTCATTTTATTCGGTCTAAATATGGAACGAAAAAATCGACATGCACGTAGATATTCTACATTTCTGATTTTTATCAGATGTTTTTGTTTCCAAAACTTTTATTTCATACAGCTTTAAATGGAAATTTAGGTATAAATCTATTGCCGCGGAAGACTTAACGGGTTGCCGGGGCTCCGGCTCGAAGTGCAGGAGTAGGAACGGGGTGGTTTTTAGTCAGTAAGAGTCTCACACTCCCTCCCGCCTCACCCGGGCGGGAGAAGTCATTGGATGATTTTCCCCCCTCAAAAAAAAAAAAAGGTATAGATCTATTACAACTTTTCCTAATTTAGTACAGCTACTCGACAACAGATGGCGCTGACATCTCTTTTTATGAATAGTATAACGACGTTCTTTGGTATAAATTAATTTTTAGAAATCTTGACTTTATATATTTTATAAAAATGTTTATTATTGACTAATTTAAGAATATAGCAACTGATCTCATTAAATATTATCCATACACGGTTAATTACCTATGCATTGAAATACTTGAATTTTTAAATAGGTAGCGTTGTTCTTAAATTTGAATATTGTAGATAGGTACCTAACCTACCTGCATATTTCAGTAAACGACTAATACGGGCAGGCATTTTGTGTTTAATTTAACAAGTAAGCAAGCATTAACTGAAAGAGATCTACCTATATAGCTAAGAAGAAGACGTGCTATCTATAGCGAGGTTTGCCTGAAGACGTCTATTTAGCGAGGTGCACGTTTAAACCAACAGGAGGTAAGTGCACAGTCAATCATTGCAGTAATGATAGTCCCAGGGGAGATGTGGTTTGTTGCGGACTGGCATTCTCGTTATCATATCTGAGGCAGCGGGCGGGGGCAGCAGGCGGGGGCAGCAGGCGGGGCCTCGCAGCGCCCCGCCCAGCGCCGCCACGCCTGCGCGGCCACACCGCCCCGACACATATCATTAGCATTTAGCACTATCGAACATGCCGCGACCCTCGCGTGAATCGTACGGCGACCAGAAGCCCCCGTACTCGTACATCTCCCTGACGGCGATGGCGATCTGGAGCTCCCCGGAGCGCATGCTGCCGCTATCGGAGATCTACCGGTTCATCACGGACCGCTTCCCGTACTACCGGCGCAACACGCAGCGCTGGCAGAACTCGCTGCGGCACAACCTCTCCTTCAACGACTGCTTCGTGAAGGTGCCGCGCCGCCCGGACCGGCCCGGCAAGGGCGCCTACTGGACGCTGCACCCGCAGGCCTTCGACATGTTCGAGAACGGCTCGCTGCTTAGGAGGCGCAAGAGGTTCAAGCTGCACACTGAGCAGAAGGATGGCTTCAAGTCGGAACTGACTGCGTTGGCGAACTTTAATCGACGTTTTCTAGCTGATCAGTTGAACATGCGGGCTCTACCAGTGAAAGCGTGCGAAGTACCAGTGGCTGCTACTCCTTGCAAGGTGACTGAATCAAAGGACAGTTGGAGGAAGTCGTTCTCTATAGACAGTTTGTTAAGTAGTGCAGTGGATAAGTCGAGTGTGGAGGACAGTAGGAGCGCGGCATGTGCGCCGGAGTGGTACCGGCCGGAGCTGGCGGCGCTGAGTGCGGCCATGTGGCCCTCCATGTACCCTGCCTCGCCACTGGAACACCTCCAGCTAACAGTGAACTTTCAGAATATTATCGATAGTCTGCACTATTACTTCCAGAGACCGCTGAATTCTGTGTAACTGTTTATGTGACGTTAGATTGCAATTAAGTAGATAGTTAGTTTAAGCAGTAGGCTTACGAACTCGTTAATTTCAAAATACATACCTACATCTATTACAACTTACTTAGAAACACAAGACTCGTAAGAAAATGTGTAAAATAAAAATAATGAAACGTTATTACCAGGTGTACAGAATGGACTCAAGGTGTTCCTCAGGGCTCAAAGTAAACCAACTGGAATAATGATTTATTTATAGGTACTATGTTAAAAATATATGTAGATATTTAAGTGCTAACTTGTATATAAAATATACCTACCTTTAGATGTTGCATATTTATTTATATTCTATAGTAGTTTAGTTAAATAATTGTAGAATATTGAATAGATAAGGTAAATGTAGATGACTACCTTCATGTGAAATACTTAGGTACTTAACTTTAAAGATATTGAAGAAAGCAATGTAAATAAAGTAGATGACGATTTTTATTAGGTATTTAAAATGAATGAAAACATTTAAATAACTCTGTTAAACTACAGTTAAAAATATTCATAAAATTTTATTGTTTCAGTTGTTAATTATATCATCAGTACCAAGTACTTAGTTATTGAAATAAAATTACCTATTTCGATACAAACTGTTCTATGATATATCTATGATACAAACCAAACCACACACCTACCTATTTATTTATTTATTTCAATTAAATAGTATAACATTACAGTCATAAAACCAAGTCGTTATACATTTCATATACTTAATTATAAAAAGAAAAAAAACTAAACAAAACAGAAAAGTCCTTAAATAAAACAAACAATAAGAATAATAAGAAAACCTTACAAACTATTACTATAGGTACACTTACCTATAGAGGTACATATAAACTCCATTACCTGACAGTGACAGCGCATCAAGCGACTTTACAATATATGTATTGTACTACTTACTTATACATTTTGAACCCTATTTAATTTATAGTATTTTTATACTTTACTTGAAAAAATAGATGTAAATTCGATCTAGGTAAACAGGCTACCTTCTAGGCTGTTTACACAACCATTTACCTACCCTGCTCTATCCAAAAGGCAGGTGATTTCCGACAGTGAACCATTTTATATGGATTTTATAAAATTAATGCACGAGGTTAAATTTTAAACATGTGATAAATCGCCTCCCTTAAACTCGTTTAAGCTTCAAAAGGGGGATGGTAATATAATCGGCGGAGTCGACTGGCGTGACGTATACGTCATGTTTTGTTATTTATGTTTAAAGAAACGGGCCGGGGGCTGTTTTAGTAATTAATATAGAGAAATGGGTAAATTGAGTGCCGTTTACCCTCGGGCGGTCGGGCGGTCGGGCGGTCGGACCACCACCTTTTGTGTGAATCCGCGGGATTTAACGCCGATGTCAACTGGATACTTGCCAACAAGTCAAATTCAATACTTTTTTTCGAACTGTCAAAAACGTTAGTTTTCTATGAATTTTGTACGAGATTGTGTATTGTGACGTCACGTTTTTGTAGCGCCATACAGCATACTTATTTCTTAAAAATTTGCTGGAAACATACTAAAATTAAGTTAGTTATAAAATCAATTAACGAAACTGTGACTATTTTTTAATATTTTATTTTATCAAAATCAAAAATAAATTATTTCGACTGTTCACGAAATAATTTATTTTTGATTAAGGCAAGTAGGTACCTACCGAAATACTACAAATACTCACCACCAGCCTTGTTTAATGAATGATTGGGATTTAATGTGATTGGTTATATGTTATTCATTCATTAGGTACGATTAAATAGTGGTCAATGTCTGGATAATTATTGTATTTATTTTCCGAAAGCGTAAGCTGAGATAGCATTTTCAAATTCCGTTCGTTCTTAAGAATTTTAAATCCTAAGGGTTAATTTTAGGTAGCAGTTTATTTCTGTACATAAATAATAAGTGGGTAACACTGTTACCATCACCACATCATCACAAGCCTGTAACAGACACTGCTGTAAAACGGCCTCTTCTTACACTGATAAGGAAAGTGCATCACCATTCACCAGGCTTGGTAAAAGCGGACTGCCGATTTAACTTAAAATACTACCGAAAATAAAAAGAATTAAACGAAGTCTAATAACACTACTCTGTACAACAATGATTACAAACTGCTGACAGATAGCAATTCTCCTTATACTTGTTTGTAAATCGTGGTCTGTGCATGAGCAGCTTAAGTTACATGTAAAACATTGCACTTCCTTAAGTATAATCTAGATTATTCTAAATAATTCATATTAACTAGGCATAAAAACTTAAGAAAACGAAACGAATATTACTGTTTGATTCATTATTGTCTTTGTTTATTATCATATTATTCCTAGTAATAAAGTAATTTTCACTTTTATTTGGTATTTTTGGAAAAAAAATTGAATATTGTACTGGGTCCAGCGTACCCGGTAGCGAGTATGGGTGTTACAAAATAAGGCGCGAGTCCTTAAGTGTTAATATAGAGGTAATTACCACATAGGCAACTATAGACTTCGCACTATTGAAAATGGAAAAGTGTTACACGACAATATTAAAAACAATAAGGTCAGTTTTATTTTATGGGATAAGCCGGTAAACGAACAGACGAATCCTCTGATGGTAAGCAATCGTCGTCGCTCACGGATATCTGGAACACCAAAGGCCTTACAAACGCATTACTCGTCGTTTGAGGATTGTTGGGGATTCGGGTATTGGGAAGACTGGGGAGGGAAGGTAGTTGGGCCTCGGGTTACGTCACTCACACGACGAAACACAACGCCAGCGTTGTTTCACGTCGTTTTCTGTGAGGCTGTGGTATTACTCCGGTCGAACCGACCCAATCGTGCCGAAGCATGGCTCTCCCACACTTAAGGTTAGGTACCCAGATTACCTAACTGAGCGGTGTTTCCCATCTGACTAAACAGGGTAACACCGAAGCCAACTCAGAGGTCAAAGTTCGTGTTATTCCAGATATAAAACAGGTAAACTAAAGCCTGCTTCTAATTATAACAAATACTTTTATGGATACCGCGGTAAAACATACCAACATACATACATACAGGTCGAATTGATAATCTCCTTATTTTTTACATAACATTACACTAATATCCCCGATTAGGGGTAGGCAGAGGTGCACATTATGCCACTGTACAATGTACTTAACATCTACTTTTCACTATTTATGTTATGAGTCCCATGTAATAGGGAGTGAACCTATTGCCATATACCAGGAACAATTCCATACTCCGTGCTACTACTGAGAATTAAAAAAAAACCAGTAATACTTTGCCCAATCCGGGAATCGAACCCTGAAGACCATTTGCCCGGCAGTCGTACTTGCGACCACTCGGCCAACGAGGCAATCTACACAGTTAATAGGTGCGTTACTTGATTCAGAAAAGTGAAGCCCCGAATGACGAGTCATTGTAGGTAAGAAATACTTAATGCGCATTATTGTGGCGCATGACGTGGCGTAGTTATGTGATTTTGAATAACAAAATCGCTAAATTGTGGTATTTGTTTCGAATCACTTATTTACAAACGTGTCCCTCTATATAGGTCAGGCTTGGCTATACTTTTAGGTAATTTTGTTCTCAGAACACAGAATGAATTATAAGGCATTTACGCAATAAAGGTTTCAGCAACGCCACATTTGGCTAATTGCCGATAAGGACATGATGCATAGTAGGTAATTAATTGTGTTTATTACTTGTGTGGCTAAAAACTTCCAATCATACAATGTTTACGAAAAACACACTTACAATGAAATGAGAAAAATTCCGTAATAACGGAGCGTCAATAGTAGTTGATACGATATGAAAATTTAAATATTAGACACGTATTGTTTGTCATTTAAGGTTACAAAATACTTAGATGAAAAGGTACGTCACCGCTCCCTATATAATGTACCTAGTAAATTGTGACGTCACACGATATTCGAATCAATATATCGTCGAAAGTCTAAAGAAAAGAAATATGTGTTTAGTGTTTTAAATTTAATAAGAAGACGGATATTAAAATAATATTTAGGAAACTATTCTATTAAAAAACAGATATTATTAGGGGAGCAGGAAAGCTATACTTTTCATATCTATTTGTTCTTATAGGTACTCCATATTTAGCGTATTTGGTGCACAATTACGTGTTTTTCCTTATGATTTTTCCTTTAAAACGTAAGAAGAAGACGGGTGACGGCTGCACAAGGTGCATACGTAATTTCAAGGATAATATCGATTCGTGTGCAAATTCACTACACAGATATTTTTATATTACACTGTTCTGCTTCTAGGAATATTATAATACCAGACTGGCGATATATTAAAGAGGGGCCAAATTAAAAGTACTCTTAACCGACAAAAAATTAATGACTGTTAATGAAGCGATGGAGGTATGTAAGAATCACAGTAATTGGCGTTCCCTAGTCTCTGCCTACCCCCATGGGAGACAGGCGTGAAGTTATGTATGTATGTATGCTTCTAGGAATAGAACTAAATATTATCTACCTGCTCCTGCCTGCGACTTTGCCCGCGTTCCCTTGTGGATAAAGTATATGACAAAGTCTATGTTTTATTCCATATCATAATCTAACCCTCTTCTAAATTTTATGTCGGTCCATTCAACCGTTTTGAAGTGATTGAGGAACAAACATACATACATAACATCACGCCTTTTATCCCCGAAGCGAAGGGGTAGGCAGAGGTGCACATTGTGTCACTGTACAATATAACACTTACTTTTCACTATTTATGTAAAATGTTTATGTTATGAGCCCCATGTAATAGGGGGTGAGCCTATTGCCATATACCGGGCACAAATCCAGACTCCGTGCTACTACAGAGAATTTTTTAAAAACCCAGTAATACTTTGCCCGACCCAGGAATTGAACCCGACTGAGACCCCTTGCCCGGTAGTCGCACTCGGCCAACGAGGCAGTCTTAATAAGTAGTAAAAAAAGTAATAAGTAGTATACGTAAACACTCTGTAAATAAGAAATCGGTGGTTGAATGTCTAACGAGTAGCTACTCAGGGACTCAGTGGGTACTGAGAGCAGTTGAGTACAATAGACACTTGCGGCTGCGCAGCCTATAACAAATATTGGATGACAGCCCGCTGATTGAACTCTTCTACATCGTCCACTTTACTGCTTGCTTTACTAGCCTATGGGAGTATAAACTACTTCTAGATTAAACTGGTAAAAATGATATTAAATACTAATGTTTTTTTTATATACTTGATAGGGCGACGCTTGATCACTATCTCACCTGGTGATAAGCCATCGCTTGTATGTATGTATATGCGGTCTACAATGGAGTACGTCTTCTCATAAGCAACCTATTCACTCGGGCCTTGAAGACTCCCAGGTTAGTGTTTAGGAAGGTAACTACACTATATATCAATTCGGTATGTCCTAAGTCCTTATTCCTTATGGATAATCATATATGTATTATTAATTATTTATCAATGTTATATCTATTGCCACGCAATATGCGTAA